ACCCATTGATAATGACTAGACAAAGATATAGGGATGGTGTCATATAGCTTGTGTGGCCTTTGCTGTGTAATGACCCCTTGATTCTTCCTGTTTGGTGCTTCGAGCTATCCCTTATATACCCCTTCCAATGACTTTTCCACTTGCATGCATACTGGCTACCAGATCATCCAAAGTTTGTTCTATACAGAGAGTCCAGCAGACTATGTGGCAGTGGACCAAGTGCTGACGTTTGCTGCCTGTGAGAGCCAGCGTTGTGTGAATGTGAGCTGGCCAATGACCTGGTCAGTGAACCGGAGGAGACCTTCTCTCTCAGTCTCACACGGTCCACCAGATCTCACATCTCCTTCACCTCCGCCACTGGAGTGGTGGTTATCACCGATGACGATGGTGAGAGAAATACCTCATTCATAACAACATTCTCTTCTTTGTTTTTTCCTTTTGCTCTCTTTATTGCTCCCTTGCCCCCTTTTAAAACTTACACTTCAGTTTTGCTGTCATTGTTTTGATATTCTCATGTGTTATTGTGTCATTATGATAAAAATATGGTGTTAGACATTTAAAATTAGAGTGTCTGAGGGGAATAAATTTTGATGTGTATGAGCAGGAGTGGGGAGGGGCCTAGACTCCAAACAACGAATGTCTGGGCATGGTCATCAGCACATACCAGTGGCAAAGCCTTGTGGGGATGAATCTCATTAGTTCAGAACCACAAGTGCTGTGCTCATGTCAGCCTTTATAAACTCTGTGATGCTAGAGAGAGAAGTTGTGGTATGCTTTGCTGATGAGTGCCAACAAGCCCGAAACAGCTGTCCAGAGCTCCATCTTTTTTCTCTTGGCATCACATGGTTTTTCTACATGAATGAGCATGTGAAAACTATATATGAGGTAGAAAGGCAAAGGCACAACAAACAAGTCAACTACACCCAGGACAACTCTTTTTCCGAGGACAAGCATGCACGGCATAGCTCATTTTTTCCACAAAAAAAGCATGAAAAAAATGTTTATAGCATACTAGCTAAAAGAATAATATCAGAGGAAAAGAAAGAACCTCCCCCACCCAAGCACACAAAACATACCCAAGCATACAAAAACACAGACAATAACATATAAACAGAAAGAAAGAGGCACGACCCTGGGTGCCCGCTGGCACGGATAGCTTTCCTCACCAGGTGTGATGAATGCTAATTTTAATGTCATCCCCACAGATAGTCCAGCTGGGGTCAGTTTCCTCCCAGTGAACGCCACAGGAGTGAGGATCTCCTGGAGTGGCAGTGTCCACCTCCCCACCTCCATCCACTACACCGTCTCTCTCTCCACCACCGGCATCATCATGAGCCAATACAACAGGGTCTACCCACCTGGAACCACCTCCGATGTCGTGGTCTTGGATGATGACATCACCCTTACAGACGAATATGTGCACAATTTAACCCTCCACTACATCTCTCAGAACTATGATGTCCCAGGAACTCCAACAATTGCCTTCTTCACTTTCGGTAAGAAAATCTGGTCTATAAATTACAGCAAGCATGCTTATCCACTCTACAGATAAGAAGGACTTTCAGATTCAGTTTGGACCATTCCACTTTTGCCTGGATTGGGGAGTAAGTCTGTAGTGTGCATTCGTGAGAAGTTCTTTGGTTGACTACGGTTAAATCCCTGCAGCTGGAAAAGACAGTTCGCATTGAGAAGCAACTGCAGAGTTATTTGATTCAGATCCTCCGTAAGGATTGTGCCGATTGCTATGGATTAACCCCGTCATTCCTGAGACCAGGACTGTTTCTCTGCCACAGTAACCCCACCAAGACCACCTACCGCTCCACCCTCGTTAACCCTTTCCCCACCACAAACTCCACCCACCTGGTGGACATTATTCAGAGTTGGGTGTCCACGGGTCCGTCCCTCGTTCTGGACGGTCTGCTGGTGAGGGTGAGTCCGGCCTGCCCCACCTCTATCTCCAGTCTCGATGAAGAAGAGTGTGAGAATGGTACCACACATGACCCACAGCTGGGGGACAGGATTACTCAGACTCTCAATGCCTGTGCTCTGAAGAACCTTGGAGAGGAGGTCTGCAGGCTTGGTGGCTGCTGAGTTGCGGACACATACTTAGTTATAGTTAGCTTGCTATGTCGTTGAATGTATTATGTGGGACTCATTTTCAACTAAGGTAGCAAGCAAAAAAGTACATGCAAGTTTGTATCTAGAAAAATGTATGATATCCCCCACTACGTTATCGCACATATGCAGCATCAAGTATCATATAACAGTGAAGAAGAGAGAGAACGAGCGGCCTCGCTCAGCTCAGCAATCGGACATTGGCTGGCGGGCTCGAGGAAAAATATGCGCGTGCGCATTCCTAGTTGCCGAGCGTATTAGCGGGAGGCAACTACTCCGGGTTGTATTCTCGCGATATGCGTACGTCCGTACGTACGTCCTCAATTAGTCACGCTTAGGAATGTCAATTAGTCACCAAAAGGAAGTGTAACTTCCGTCATTCGTAGGAAGTCTAGCTTCCCCCGTGTGCGCGCAGATTCGTACGTACGTCTACGTCTTGCTTCGCGCGCAGTCAGTAGAGCGCGCGCACGAGCGGCCTCAGTCGGACTGTTTACGCATTGGCTGGCAGGCGCGAGGCAAAATATGCGCGTGCGCATTCCTAGTATAATGTATAGGTTATACGATGGCGGCGCGTGGTCTACGGGTTGTACACGAGTGGCCCAGTTTTGATAGGGCACGAGGGCGTAGCCCGAGTGGTCTATCAAAACTGAAGCCACGAGTGTGCAATCAGTAGACCACAAGCCAATGCCAGCGTATAACGTGTTTGTATGATGACATCCGGCGGTAAGGCTCTGACCAATGAGATTGCGCAAAAGCTTTCAAAACGCCCTCTTTTTAACGCACACCACCATCGAGTGTACGGGAGACGGGGAGAGAGTTAGCTAGCAATCGATCAGGAGAGAAACAGCTGCAATAAGCGCTTTAGTTTAGTCAAGCTGGGTGTTTGTGCAGAAGCCATGGTCATTTCTCGAGAGTTCAACGTTACAGGTATCCTATACGTCAAAGGTATACTTTTCGCTGCTAGACTCCACACGAGTTTTGTAGCTGCCGCTCTGGCTCGCTTTCTTTCCCGCTATACCCAGCACGGATATCCCCCAGCACTCTCGAATGCAGCCTCAAGAAAGATGAAAGTCACCGAATACTGTTCCAGTCCACGGGAGCCTACGCGTCGGGAAGCAGCTTCGCTAGTTTTCAGGCCGCGTATATACTAGAGCAGTTTCTGGGCATTCTAGCCTGAAAACACTCCCTTCTGGTAAAGAAACAGCAGCACACAGAGTGTAAAAGCCCCCAAATGCATTCCACGCTGCCAATTTCCTACTATCGTCTAACTCCTGTAGACTCACTGTGGTTTATGCAAATAAGTTGACATACAGCTAAAGTATGGGGAAATTGTATGGCCTCTTTATGTTCTAACTACCCGTAGATAGACTGAGCAGGAAGCGCTCACTACGCATCTACGTTGGTACCCTCGGCGCGCATGCGCAGCGAGGGTACAGTAGTAACCCTCGGCGCGCATGCGCAGCGAGGGTTACTGTAGTTGGGTTTGTTTGTGTGTGTGTGTGTTGGATATGGGCTATTTAGACGAAAGGGAGGGAGGTAATACAAAAGAAATGGTAGGTAAGATTTTGGGTGGCTTTGTCAGTGTCATTGTATGCAGGTATCCAGATGGTATCAAAAAACGAATAGTCCATGTTTAGCCTAAGGACAGACACATGGAGTACATAGGGCAAGGTGGCTATTTCCTTCACATGCGGACATGTTCTAGAGTAAGACCTATTTCATCAGGGAGGTTTCTCATGCATAGCATGCTTTGGATTGCTGAATACTAAGCCTAACAATGTACAGCACATAGCAAACGCAGCTACTATATACCTTACTAAATACTATTCACAAGAGTATACTCAGAGGCTAGAATATGAGACTGGATGCCCAGTCTTGAGAACAGGGGGTGGTGGGTTAAAGATCTTTGATGGCCAGCCAACTCTCCCCACACATCCAGTCACATACACAGCCAATCACAGGGTACATACATGTAGAGTGTCTATAATACGTAAATTCTTATGGTAGATATACCTCTGGGTCTTAGGGAGACTTGCAGCAAACGAGGTTCTGCTAGGGTTGAGGTATTTTATAGGAGTCTGTTTTCAGTATGGGACACTATGGGTCTGTTATCAGTATGGGACCAACTTAAGTGGGAGTGGCTCTGAACAGGTGTGGTAGTGTCAATGGTGTTGTTTGAAGCTGGAGTATGTGCAAAGCTGCTATATATAGTATGGGGAAGGGGGATTGGAGTAGAGAGTGAGAGAGAGAGAGAGAGAGAGAGAGAGAGAGTGTGTGTGTGTGGTGTGTGTGTGTGTACAGGTGCAGGAGAGGCTCCAGGGGATGTGAGAGCAGAGGCTGAGAGCCCCACTGAGATCTCTGTCCAGTGGAGTGGCCTCTCAAACTGTAGACTGGTCAATGGTCCAATCACCAAGTACAGAGTTCAGTTCACTACCAACGGCAGAACTGAGACCATAGACCAAGTGCTAGGAGATGGAGAAGACTGGATGAGTGGAGGGACGAGTTACACTGACTGGACTGACTTCCCTAACCAACTACTCCATATCAGTAGCAGCTGTGAATGAGAATGGAGATGTTGGACTGTATTCTGAGCCTTTAACCGTACTAACTCTGCAAGCAAGTAGGTCACCTGTACAATGTCCTGTAAGTGTAGCACACTGAAAGATTTTCAGTGATAGCTGATCAGAACCTAGGCAACTATCATAACTGACTATGTGCACAAGAATGTATCCACTAAAGCGCAGTAGTATTTCGTTTTCTCTGTACTGCTACCAGCCTTGAGCGTGACTACGCTATCACTTTCTCGACTCATCTCTTTCCTGACTCTGACAAATCTCCACATGCATACACTATTAACCCTCGGTGCGCATGCACAGCGAGGATTATGGTAGTTGTAGTGTGTGTCCTTCTGTCTGTCTGTCTGTCTGTCTGTCCGGTACCCAACATCTCACTTCACAAGCCATGAATTGCTACACAAACAATACCACATATTCAGCGTCGGATAAAGGTCCAAAATTACGTGGGGTTTTCTCTGAAACTGCTGCCCTCTGGATATTATTAATGCTTTTCATTGATTACGTAATGAGTTAGTTCAGAGTCTAATTACAGAGTACAGATACACTAACTGTCGTACTCTTCCCCCCACAGTAGTGGAGCTGGCAGAGACATCCTACACTATAGGAGAGTCAGATGAAGTGGTTGAGGTGTGTATCAATGCAGTTGGTACCACCTCTTCGTGCCCGAGCACCGAGTCTTTCCATGTCACCCTTTCCACTAGCGATCAAACTGCAGGTAACTACGAATACAT